CCACGCGGGTAACAACGACTGGGTCGTATAAAATCCAGAGGTAGCGGAATACGGCGATCGTCGTCTCCGTCTCCTCCTGCCCCCATTGTCAGTGCATTTCTGACAGGTCGTACATGGCCAACCCCACGTCCCCCTCCCCGTTGTCGTTGGGTCCCTTTCCTGTCGCCGAAGAGGAAGCCATACTCACGATGAGGGCGGGGTGCTGAGTGGGTGTTGGTATACCTACTTTCGAACAAACGTCAGTCACGCCAGTCAGGAAGCTGTCGAAAAACAAACAAGCTGAGGATAACGCCGTTTTTCGACGCATTCCGGCCCTTCTGGTTCAAAAACACAATAACCCTCAGCTTACTTACAGAGTGTGGCGTTGCAAAGGAGAGAAGAGATATGTGTGATGTGTGTGTGATGTGTCGAAGATGGCGTAAAAGTGCTGTGGAAAGCATAGGGGAAAGCGTGAGGGGAAGCGTGTGCAGTCTCTCTTATATATGACATCCTTTCATTGGGGGAGCACGTGGAAGCTAATCATGAGGCTAATCTACTGCCATTAAAAAAATGAAAAATCGATGCTCCTAATCAATCGTTAAATGCGTTCTAATCAAAATCGACCAATCTAAATCGATCGACTAATCTACTGCCATAAAAATTTGAAAAATCGATGCTCCTAATCAATTGTTAAACGCCTTCTAATCAAAATTGAAAAATCGATGCTCCTAATGAATTGTTAAACGCGTACTAATCAAAATCGAATTCCCTGTTAAATTGCGCGCATTGGCGCGTCCATTCATATGGGATCATATGTGGTGTACGATGGGAGGCGTGTACTGTGAAGGCCAGTAACGTAAGGCCAGAAACGCTTATAGAAACATAGTGTGACTCACACACATCGCGCCCACGCGCATTTCATTGTACCTACTACGTACATTGCGACGCGCGATACGGACTCAAAAATGCATTCCGTGAATGCGCGCGGAAATCATGGAACTGTTTATCGGTAAAGCGGCCTGCGTTTCAGAACATAAAAGACTCGGATCGAAATATAACCGCCTCAATAGATCACACAACATCATCAAGCAACAAACAATATCATGGCCCGTATCCTCAACAACAATGACTACGAACTCCAATTCGTCTTCTCTGCCCGTCAAGGACTCTTGCCGCGATGGGAGAAGACCTGCATGAAGAAAGACATACAACTCGGCTTGGATGGAGTGAGACATGTTTTCAATTACAGCAGCACTCGAAAGGATCTTCTAATTCACATCTTCGATGCTACCGAGTCCCGGCCATTTACCTTCCTTCACACCGACGGCTTCTGGAAAGATCTCCGGAATACAGATTCCTTTCCAGAAATCGACTGCTTTCATATCCAGAGAAAAGGCCTACACGGCGATGTCATTCCCTTCTACGCGTTGCCGGACCCTCCCACCGGAGTGGACAGATCCTGCATAGAGATCATCTGGAGACATCTCGCTAAACAGAAGGCAACTATCCTGAGCCTTTCTCGTTTCCAGTTACCCTATTTCCTTCCTAATCGGGACGATCTCGTTTGAATGACGGAGACGTTACATGATGTCACTCCTATCGTGCAAGCAATGGATATCGCCGCCCCTGAAACAGAGAGGTCGCCATGTTGCGCGCGAACAAGAACAAGGTTGAGGAGAAAATCGATGCCTGGATGCCAAAGATGAACGATAATAAGGCCTTTACCTCCGGAGAGTATGGAGTGGAATATTCAGGAAAAAAGAAAAGCAATCGGGTATCGTTCGTCGCCACCGCCGTTTCATCGCAACGGATCGTTCGAGTCCGACGGGCATGGTTTTCTCGGCACGATCAGCCGGTGCTTACTATAGGCTTCCCTTACTTTCCTGAGTTTACGGTACCCTCTATATCCAACTGGCTTTACAAGGTGTGTAATTGCACTGTAGGTTAGCGTTTTGATATGGGAAGCTATAAGCTCTGCAAGAAGCAAGAGGACGCACGTTGTTATTCATCCGGTACGGCTAGACAAATAGAGACCCTCACGCTGGCGCGGCCTTACATTTGTCAGCAGCCACTACGCTGTCGAAAAACCATGCCGCAACCTTAAGCCAATCTAGATCTGGCCAACGAAAACGCGTTCGAGGCGTTCGAGGCGTTCGGGGGAGCAGAACTGCATTTAGTTACTCTTTCGTGTGCCGACCCAGGCGTTATAACCAGCAACGAAACTGTGGTACCTCTTTTAAACAATGGTACCATTGAAAAGGGCGTTATATGCCGCGGCAACGCTGGTGAAAGTCTCTCCAAGACGATGATGATATAATTTTGCCCGTCGGCGACACGGAGGTCTTTCAAACTTGCATTCGTTCGAGAAAGTCAGTTCCATACCAGGCCGTCTATACCAAGTGACCTACACCAGCCCGACATGGACACGGGAACACCACCATCTGCCAACGTTTACGTTGCCGGCTTTCTCATCCAAATTACGGGCATTCTCGTGCAAAGCTGGACCCTGTATCAATGCGTGCGAGGCCTTCGTCGCAAAACCCATGGGAACTACCTGTCGTTTGACCACATCTTCACCTACATGCATGTCCTCCTCTGGGTCTACCAATTGAGCAACCTTTTCTTCGTCGCCTTTATCACTTTGAAGCCGGATACGTATGGATACAGAGTGTTGCTGATAATCAATGACTGGTCGTATCTGTCGTTGACGGGATTGTACGCTGGATTCGTGATCAGACGATATGGAAAGGTTTATGGAGTTTTGAATAGAAAGTTTGGAACAAAGTGGCTGCCGATACTGATGTGGGTGACCGGCGCTATCTGGTGCATCACTGCTCTTCCGTGTGGTATTTTCGATCTTGGTGAGCATCCAGAGATTGGTTTGCATGTGTTTTTTGCTCTTGGGATTGGAGTTCAGGCTGACGTTGGGTGTGCTTTGCACAAATAGTTGCCCTTATCCAGACACGCACAGGCGTTCCTTCATGGGAACCTTCGAGCGATCAGATCAACGGCGTTCTCCTGATCTTTGCTTGGGACGTCTACCTCCTCATCGCCGACGTTACGGTATCCTCCCTGCTCTATTTCCGTCTCCGCAATACTCTTCGAGACCGGAAAGGTGCTTTGCCGAATAACGGCACCCCACAACCTCAACAGCCCGCCAGAAAACCGCAGACATCAGGTCTACAACACCCTCAGCAGTCCCGCAGTGCACTTTGGACCCCAGATGGGTCCACGGGCTTAGTTGATCCCACTGGGGTTGCGTTTGCGGTGCTTCAACAAGAAACACCGACCTTGTTTGAGGACCTTGGGGAAGCCAAACTCACACCCCCAGAGAACTCGGCCTCAAAATCACCTCGCGTGCCGGCAGGCATGCCCCCCGCTTCTAGCGATCCCTCCACTTCTCGAATACCTCGCGTGCCCACAGGCGTTGGACCATCCGCTAGCCTGTGGTCGCAGTCTGAATCCAGGCTTCAACCGACCGCGGACAACAATTCTACCTTCAAACTGAACCGCCTGCCAGGTGGTGTCAGACCTCTTCGTACCAAGCTCCTCACCGAAGCGAAAGTAGCCCTCCTCCTGCGACGAAGCACCATCGGAATCATATTCCTCGTTTTATTCACCTTCTTGGGCGCGATTCTCTTGCTCGTCGGTAACCTGTTCATGGTCGACGATGGGGACGCTTACAATCTCGGTTATGTCGTTACGACGCAATTGGCGTACTGTATCCCGGTCTTCCACGGGAGATTTGCTATGATATACGTGAAGGCTGTGAAGCACTTGACGAAAGGCTTGAGGATATGAGTGCACCCTTGTATATCGAGTATCAAAGGGCAGATATAAATGAAGCAATATATGGATATTTGTCAGACACGCCAGCTGGGGTTTGTTTGGTCGATTGGAATTACGAACGCAAAACGGTCAATGCCCTGTGCTTGTTGGAACACCATGGTTCAGATGCTGGGATGTGCCTCCGAGCGAGCCGATCGACTCCGACTTCTCGTTGATCATTTCGATACGCATAATGAGTGGAATGTTCTTGAGCCGGCTGCTGAAAAGCCAGTCAGCGCGTCTTCCTCCTCCGTTGATGTTGAAGCCCCTCCGTACGACGCCGAGCCGGCACAGCACGATCTCATCGATCGACACTTGTTGTTGCACATGGGTGAAGAAGCGCCTGGAAGTACCCAGAGGTCCCTTTATCACATACTTTATTAGCTGACAATCGGATTGATTGGCTGGATGGCTGGGATAATCGAATTTTGTATGGCAAAGAAGTAAACGCGCTCACCGACGGACATAGTCTACCACTTTCCCTGTATGCGCAGTTACTAATTCTTGAGACTCAATTCAAAGAAACTGGAAATCACTTACTTATAATACTTTTGAAATCGATCGGTGGATGGACGATCTAGCGGTTTATTTAGGAACGTCAACAACCTGACTCGCGTTTCGTGACTTCGGGCACCATTGACTACCCAAGAGCGAGCTGCGTTCTTATGACTATTACGCAAATACGATATGGCTTTTGCTTTCGACGACAGCGAAAGAGGAACATTGAAGCTGCATATTGAAGAACCTGTCAAGATCACACGATTCCGCCCACACCCTGGATGGTGAAACCCCATCGACTACCTCCGCGATTGACAAAAATTGCCACAGACCTACTCCGTACGAAACGCGACGCAGGACTGTTGGAACCCTCATTTGGACCCTCCCAAAATCCCTGGTTCTTAGTACCCAAAAAGAACGGAACATATCAATTTGTACAAGATGTACAGATGCTCAACAGTGTAACCATACAATATGCTGGATGCGCGCCGATCGCTGAAGGTTTCGCTGAAGAATTTGCTGGACGTTCAATTTTATCTATGGCCGACATGTACTCCGGATATGACCAAGTACCCCTGCACCCCAAATCAAGAGATCTTACCGCTATGCTTACCCCGTTTGGATTATGCCGACTCACCCGACTGCCTCAAGGAGGAACCAATTCAGTTGCTCAATTTCAACGCGTAGTCGGTAAAGTTTCAAATCCCTCAAGCCCGACATTGTCAGCGTATATGTCAATGACACCGGTATCAAAGGATCGAAAGATCGAGACGAGACACAAGTGAAGCCCAATATCCACAAATTCATACAAGATCACATGGACGACTGCGAGAAAGTATTTATTCTGATGATCTGTTATGGACGACGCGCCCATACCATAAGCTTACCTACTGACAGCCGCCAATGTCAACCGCCAAATGTCAAACGCCAATGTCAATGTCAATGTCAGTGTCGATGTCAGTGTCAATGTCAGTGTCAATGTCAATGTCAATGCCACTCCCCCTCTCTCCTCTCATTTTGCCAATCCTCTTGCAATATCGCCACTCCTCCTCTCTCCTCTCATTTTGCCAATGCCCCCCTCGGCTTCTCCACACCCCCCACTACTTCCCCATAGCCAGCAGCTGTAGCAATGCTCTCTACGCTCGCCACGCACGCTCTAGGAGCATAGCTGGCGCCCCCCCAGTCCCCTCTGTTGTTGTTGTTCTCTGATCTGCTGGGTTGCCTATCTATAAATAGCCGGCCTCTCTTCGTCCATTCCCTTCCTCCCCAGCAGATCAACACCAGTTCTTCTCACCTCCTGTTCTAGTCCTTGTTTCTTGCTTCGCCAATACAATCTCTTGTCGCCTATCACACTCGCCCTGTCTTCTCTACTTCACTTCCGCCCCCGTCGTCGAGATCATAACAGTTTGATCTGCTCCAACACTGCGAAGTTCAGAACCTGTCCAGCCCTGCATCTGACAAACCTTTTTCGCCATGTCCCAACCCAAATCCGTACCTTTCACCGCCAAGCAATGGAACGATATGTGCCAAGCCATCGCCGCCTTGCAAAGCCAAAACGCCAACTTGCAGGCCAACCTAGCGCAAGCCCAAGCCAACGCACAAGCTGCCCAGAGCATCGCCGCCCAGGTTCAAGCCGATACGTACACCCGTCCCCAAGTCACCAACCCTGCTCTAGAGCCAAGAATCAGCTTGCCCGAGAAGTTTGATGGTACCCGCAGCAAATTCCGTGGGTGGTTGAACAACATCCGGTTGATGTTTGCTCTCCAGCCCGACAGCTACCCCAGCGACATCATCAAGATCCAAACTATTGGCACCTACCTCACCGGCACTGCGCAAGCCTGGATGGCGCCCCTAGTCGAACGCCAAGATCACAGCCTTCAGGACTTCGATAGTTTTATCAGTCAGATGCAATCGGTCTTTGGAGACAGCGACAGGGTCCGCACCTCCGAGAACAAGCTCCAGAACCTTTGCCAAACCCGTGCAGCCACCGAGTACGTCGCCGAGTTCCGCCAGCTGCAATGCGATGTCTCCTGGAATGACCAGGCCCTGATTGCTACCTTCCGCCGTGACCTCAAAGAGGACGTCAAGGATCTGATGCTCACGATGCCCCCTGCTGCCACCATTGATACGGTGATGGAGCAGGCTATCCAGTGCGATAACCGACTGTTTGAGCGCCGCCTGGAACGAAAGAAAACCCGCCAGACCTTCCCAGTTCCCCATACTGTTATGGACAACGCGTCCATACCATGCGCTTACCTCATGACAGCATCCCAACAGTCAGTCAATGTCAATTCCCTGTCAAAACCTGACATCTGCCAAACCTCGCAGCCGCACGCAGCCGCGCTACCCCACACCTGCCACTGCCTTCATTTCTCCACGCAGCCGCATGTAGCCACACCTCCCAACACTCGGCGCTTACAAACCCTTCTCCATACTTCCCCACGTACCCGCCCACAGCCTCAGCGTAGCCACCCCATCCCCAGTCTTCTGTTTCTATGCTTCCCCACCCTTGGCGCTTCTCTTGGCTTCCCTCTCATTCCGTACCCTTCTGCTTCCCCACGCTTCCCCAGCCTTCCCAGAAAAACATAAATAGCCGCCTCCCCTGAGCTCCCCACTTCCTGATCCCCCAGCAGATCAACACCAGTTCTTCCTAGTCTTGTTCTAGTTCTTGTTTCGGTCTGAATACCATTACCTGTCAACAACCTGCACCCCAAGCCGCCTCTATTTCCATCGGCTCCGCCCATTCATAACAGTTTGATCTGCTCAACAACCCCCAGCCGCTGTACCTCCACGCCAAATCACCATGTCCGACGCCCTTCCCCTCACGGCCGAAGCCTGGCAAGCCATGTGCAATGCGATCGACGAACTTCGAGCACAGAATACCACCCTACAAGCCGAACTAGCGCAAACCCAGACCACTGCCCCTGCCACCCACGCCCCCGAACCCAAAATCAGTCTCCCAGACAAATTTGATGGCACCCGAAGCAAGTTCCGTGGGTTCCTCAACCAGATCCGGCTCATGTTCGCCCTCCAACCCAGGCGCTACCCCAACGATCAGACCAAGATACGAACTATTGGCACCTACCTCACTGGCACCGCCCAGGCCTGGCTGGCGCCCCTTGTCGAACAAGACCATCATTCCCTTACGAACCTGGATGATTTCATCCAGCAAATGCAAGCAGTCTTTGGAGACAGCGACAGGATCCCGCACACCCGAAAACAAGCTCCAGAACCTTCGACAAACCCGTGCAGCAACAGAGTATGTAGCTGAATTCCGACAGCTGCAATGCGATGTGTCGTGGAATGACCAGGCATTGATTGCCACCTTCCGTCGCGGCCTCAAAGAAGACGTCAAGGACTTAATGCTCACGATGGCCCCCTACCGCCTCAATCGACACCGTGATGGAACAGGCCATCCAATGTGACACCCGATTGTTTGAGCGCCGTCTAGAGCGAAGCAGGAACCGACAGCCATATGTGCCAGTTACCACTAGCCCCACCCTCATGAGCCCCGACAACCGCCCAGACGACCCTATGATCATTGACGCTGCTCGTCCGCGAGGACCCCTCACACCGCTAGAGCGCCAACACCGCATCACAAACAAACTTTGCCTCTACTGTGGTAAACCTGGCCACATAGCCAAACTCTGCCCGAACAAGATACGCACGGCGAATGTCGCGGTTAAGGAACCTGCACCCATCCAGGATTTTGCCCAAGTCCAGCTGCAGTAAAGGCCGAGCAGCTGGGCAACACCTGTCCTGGGCTTTCTCACCACGCAAGTACTGCCAAGGGAGAAGCCACAAAACCTTGCTCCGATCCTGGCATCTCCAGCAACACCCTTCTCCTGACCACCAACAATGCCAATCTCCTATCTGAGATACCCTCACCCATGCGGACTTTGGGCCCATCCTCACCATTCGAGTACCCTGTTACCCTGCAGATATCGGCCCAGCGAGCTCCAGTTCAGCTTTCAGCACTACTCGACACCGGTGCGATGTCGTGCTTCATCGACGAAAGTTATGCTCGCAAGCACCGCATCCCACTTGTCAAGAAGGAGGAACCCATTGCGCTTGAACTGGTTGACGGACGTCCCAGCCATGCGGGCTCCATTACCCATCACACCCAACCTTTGGGCATGTGGGTCAACGACCATTTTGAGGAGGTGGTATTCCATGTGACATGTTCCCCGCATGCGCCAATCATCCTGGGGCTTCCCTGGTTTGAGCTCCATGATGTGGAGCTACACTGGAAGACTCGCACTCTTTGCGTCCGCTGCCATTGCGGTTTTGGACAATACGCCTCCTGGGATGCCCTGCCAATAGAACCTAGCCCGAAGCCCTCAAAAACCCCTGAACCTCTGATCCGTATCCATCAAGACGAGATTTCAGTCTCCCTAGCCCAGACCCCCAACACACTGGACCCAGCACCCACACCGATCCATGTATCGTTTATCAGCGCCCCAGCTTTCCGTGTGGCGGCAAGGCATGACCAGGCATTCATTGCCTACGCCAATCCGACCAAGTCAGATTCCCAAGCCCTGGCGACCACTCCTCCAAAAGATCCGAAGGCCATCATTCCTGAAGAATACCAAAATTTTGCGGACGTCTTCGCCAAGAAGAACGCGGATACCCTCCCAGAGCACCGACCCTACGACTGTCCCATCGACTTAGAAGAGGGCAAACAGCCACCGTTCGGCCCGATCTATAGTCTCGGCGAGCCTGAAATGCAGGCACTCTGTGACTACCTTGAAGAGAACCTAGCTAAGGGGTTCATCAAGCACTCCAAGTCTCCCGCCGGTGCCCCAGTCCTCTTTGTCAAGAAAAAGGACGGTTCCCTCCGTCTGTGCGTCGACTATCGTGGACTCAACAATAACACCATCAAGAATCGCTATCCCTTGCCCTTGATTAACAGCATGATGGATCGTCTTCGAGGGGCACGCCGGCTCACCAAGATTGACCTCCG